GCATAATTATGCATAATTATGCATAACCCTGAGAACAGTTATGCATAATTATGCATAACCCTAGCAAGCCTTATGAACAATTATGCATAACTGTTTGAAGAATTATGCATAACCCTTGACCATTATGCATAATTATGCATAACCTTCAAAACCTTATGCATAATTATGCATAATTATGCATAATTATGCATAATGTTGCAAATTTAGATTATTCCCCAGGGGGCAATCGATGGTGGCTACGTATTTCTTACATCATTTTTACCTATAGTTTGCAATTTTAGCCCATCAGGGTGTAAGGTGGCTGAGATATGGGAGGCCAGTCCGGAATTAAACTGGAAGTCCGGAATTAAACTGGAGGCTGTTTATTATTAGTTAGTTGTGGCGGCTGGTGGTGTAGTGGTTAGAGCAATAGACTGTGAACCGGGAGACCCAGGTTCGATTCCGAGTCGTACCTGGGACATGTCTGAACATGCGCCCCTACGTTGTGTCCTTGGGAAAGGCACTTTACACGATTTTCCTCACTCCACCCAGGTGTGAATGGGTACCTAACTTCGGTTGGGGAAAGTCGTATTGAGGTCACCTTGTGGTGCCGAATGGCAGCCGCACAGACCCTTGCGACAGTTCCGCAAAATAATTGTGGAACAAATATGTGTATCATTTGTATTATTTGAATGTTGTAATTGTTGTGATTTGTATTGATTATTATGTGATACCCTGCATCAATTCAGCCGTATAAAGGCTGCGACTGCACGGGTACTGTTTGGACAATAAAAACCATTTATATCAACAACTACACAGTCAGGCCTGGCATAGCAGTCTGTACAGTACAGAAACATCAACAACTACACAGTCAGGCCTGGCATAGCAGTCTGTACAGTACAGAAACATCAACAACTACACAGTCAGGCCTGGCATAGCAGTCTGTACAGTACAGAAACATCAACAACTACACAGTCAGGCCTGGCATAGCAGTCTGTACAGTACAGAAACATCAAGAACTACTTGGAGTTGGAAACCATTTATGTCTCAGTCATGTTGTGAGGCGACCCTCTTCAAGGAGACCACCTGTCCAAGGTGGCCACTTTTCTTTGGTCCCCTGGGTGGCTGACTTGTATAGGTTTTTCTCTATATAGACACACACACACACAGACAAACCAAAAGCAATATATATGCAGAAACACAGTCACACACAGCGTGACACACAGACAAACTAAAAGAACACCTACATTTTCATGTAGGTAAGGCCACACCAATTAAATTTCTTGGTTAACGGATTCGCCCACTTCATTTCAACTGCAAAATGCTCAAAAAACAGTCCTTTTCTTCCTAGTAGTTACAGTTATTCCATCTTTGAATACAAAGGTATCATTTAAGTTCAAAATTCATTGTTTAAATTTTGAACCAGCCTGGTGTGTTGACTTCATGGCTCCTATCGTACCATTTTGGGCCATAATAGGATGCCTAGGCCTGTTTTTATTTATTTATTTTTTTCACCTGCACGCTCCATTATTTTTCTAGAAAAATCCGTTAACCAAGAAATTAAATTGGTGTGGCCTAATGAGGCTTCCACAGGAGGTCCACCCACCTTGCCCTTGATGCTAAGTCCTCCAGTGTCGTACACAATCCCCTTGCCGACCCATGCCACAGTCTGGGTAGCACCTGTGGGCTTGTGACTCAGGATGGCTAGAGCAGGAGGATGGTCGGCTGCCTGCCCTACTCCATAGATACCTAAAAAACAAAACAAAACACTGCTTCAACCTTCGTCAATCCCCAAACATAGCAGATTCTTTTATCAACTACATGTAGAAAGGCATTACAAGTGAGTTATTTTCCTTGACAAGGACTGAGTTGTACAGACAAAAATTTGGGTGAGTCCAATTTTATGTCTTGGAATTTAGGCCACACCAAGTAAATTTTATGGATGACGTCCTTTGGAGACCCTAAATCTAATGCGAGAGGGCGAAAAAAAAAAAACAAGTAGGGCCCTAAAAAACAAGATGCCTAGACTAGAAATATACTAAGAGACGACAAATGTTAGGACACAAATTGAATGAGGTGACACAGTGTAACAAGCAAGAAGTCTTTTATTCATCATCAAAACAGCAATAAATCAGGTGGAACAGTGGACAGTGATAACAGGATGGTAATAGACACTTTCTTCGCGTTACGGGTTTCACGTCAATCTGACGATTTGCGGCACTGTAGTGACTCTTTGGTCATAGTTACAGGAAGCGGAATTTCTTGTTTTTTTTTTCTAGGAACATGCCAAAATCAATGCACGCGCGGACGTCATCCATGAAATTTACTTGGTGTGGCCTTACAGTTAAATCTTGCTCATAATGACCTCTACCAACACATATGAACATTCAAGACGAGTTATAATGACATGTTGTGCAGCGTTCTGTCAGCATCCGTCTTTCCAACATTTTGGCAGAGTTTTGCTGCTCATAATGGACAAAAATATTGCCCAATCTGTCACCTTTGTCACACAAAAAGTGTGAAGAGATGGAAAGAGTAGCCATAAAACTTAAGCTTAGTCTTAAGAAAAATTTGCCCCTCAAAATGCTGGAAATAGCCTTTCAATTCAAAATTTCCCAGGGTGTACAACCAATGTATGTCTATACCCCCCTATCCCCTAGGAGTGTCTCATTCAGTGATCAACATGATATTATACTAATTTAATTTATAGAAACAGTGTACAAAATACTTTTTTGAACCAGGTTGCCCACTGGGCAACCTACGGCAAAAATTAGGTTGCCCATCAGAATTTTAGGTTGCCTCACCTAAAAGTTACTACTTTCCTCAAATTAAGTAATGTTACATACATAAGCCTTTGACAATATTTTCAACAGCCTTTAGTAACTTAACTGTTACTAAGTAATAGCCATTAATACAGGCTGCAGTGGTGCAAGCCAAGTGGGCATGATTTTGTGTGTGGGGAGGGCATTCTTAAAATTCAGGTAGCACACTGGGCTACCTACATGTAGGTTCAAAAATAGGTTGCCCCAAGTAAAATTTGGTTGCCCGGGGCAACTGGGCAACCTGGTATTTTGCACGCTGAGTAAACACAATTGAGACAACACTGGCTAGAAAACTGTACATGTAGCAATGAGAAGGAGGTTCTGCATGGGGAATAACTCACCTCCAAACCCCCGCTGTCTCAGCTCCTCCCCTCTGATGATCACAGGGGTGATCCCAACCTGGCTCCCAACCGTCTGAATTTCCTGCAGGAAAAAATAAGAAACTAGAGTTCCACGACCTCATACCTTCGCCAAATGATGTTAGCTTTTATGAATGAGAACTTATATACAATGTATTAATCCCCCTGATTAAGGTCTCATTCTTGAGTTTTTGTTAACTATAGCCGCCTATGGCAAAATACGTAACTTTACATAGGCCAAAACCCAATAATTTGAATGACAGCCATCTAGTCTATCCAATCAATTTTGAGCACAATGGCTCTACATTACGTCAAAAAATTCCCAACCAGATCTAACCCAACAATCTCTTTTTATTTATTTATAAACTGCACTTGGCCACTCTCCGCCAGAGGTCCTCCAGCGCTGCTACCTCCTGACCGCATTACCCATCACAACAGCGT